GTAAAAAATGGAGATTTTTGAATTTCTTTTTTGCAAAAACTTGTACATTTTCTAATGAAGTGAACTCTACTGGAAGCATTGCTGTTGTGGAAAAAGGTAAGCAGTCTTTCCCTCTCATTTGAAAATTCTAACTATTGTATAATTATAGCTATAATAATAATAGATGCAGAGTTCCTCACTTTTGTTCTTCTAAATTAAATGTCGAGGAACCTGGTGAACTGTCAAGTGAATTATCGCTTAGTTCAAAGAACAAAAATCATAAACTCAAGAACAGTTAATTACCCTTCATTCACTCAAAATAAGATGAACAGTCGGCTCTTTTCCTTGGGCTTACAACAAAGCCTCCACTTAGGCTTAAACTCAAAAATAAGAATACACTATGGTTGACTAAGAGATTTAGCGAAAGCTAACACAAATCTAACGTAGTTGGCCCATAATCTAGACTAGTCGGCCAATTATCAAAAGGCACGTAATGTATGGTTGAGCGTAACAGCAGCTCAGAGAGACTTAGCCTAAAGGCAAACGCGCTACTCAGAATTCCTAGCTTTCTCTTGAAGTAAGTTGAGCTTTCCTTAAATACTCCTTCTAACAGATTGCATTCAATGCGATTCTAAAAACTCATTCTGGTAGGGAGCTATAAGTTGAATTGAGGCAAGACAGGAAAGGTTAACTAAATTAAAATAACTATTATAAAATTAAAATATACTTTACATAAATATAATTATAATAAATAAAATAACTTATGCCAAAATTCATGCAGTATGCACTATTGTGTGTTTAAATGTAATTTTCTGAACTGAAAATTTTGGTAAATTGTTCAATTGTTAATTACCTGCGGTTATGAATTGTACTCGAAACAGAAGTTTCATTTGCAATTATCTTAATTTTAATTTTATTTAACTATACTACTCAGAGATATTATCATACAAATAGTAAATGCTTCCAAGTTGCACAATGAGAGGAAATAATTTTCATAACAAAATTATTTATTTAATGTATGATATTAATGAGGGGACATTTATTTTAATTCTTATTTGAAGTTTTTATTCGAAGAGTAACACTAATCACCAAGGAATGACTAGATTAAAATTTGCTAATAATGTTTCAAGTTCGTCCACTTTATAGAGTGGTAAAAGGGAAATGTCTTATACTACTTATCCTTATGATGTGACGTATTCCTTGCTCCTATAGCCAAGAACTGAATTGTTTATTCTCTTATCCTCCGTTAAAAATTCTAAGAAATGTGAGAATCATTGATTTAGTGTTAGGAGAAAAGCACAAAGCTCTCTTTCTAACTTTTTTACATTGAAGAATCAACTGTAATTGAGTTAATTTGTGCTGCTTCTGTCAGTTTAAAAGATCGAGTCGATATGTAATTTGACTTAGTACTTATGAAAACGTTTAAATGTAATCGAGTGTATCTAAAGTGTTATTGAAGCTTTCATAAAATCTTAATCCGTAAACTAATAAACTCAGAATAAAAATAAAAATAAAAATAAAAAATTATACTTAAATGATAATCCCAATGACATAAAAGTAAATTAATAAAACATGAAAGAAAGCAATCCCCCCCTTTTTTTTTTTGCAAGATATCATTTCTGTTTCCAGTTATATATCCACATATTTGAATACTGTTTATCAAGGGGGAATTTTCTGTTTTAAAAACAAACTAAATACAAGGAATTCTCTTATGATGACCATCTTCCTTAGAAGACCATCTATAAAAGTGATCAGTATTTCCGAGAACAGTGACTATTTACTTAGATCAAAATTACCTGAAATAAAAGATTGTTGTTTTAAAAAAAGATTCACACTATTTAATGCATTCAAATTTCACAAGGATAAAATAGTTGAATAATACAGATAAAATAACTAAATTTTATATTCAAATAATAAATTCCAATAAATCATTTAAATAAAGATTGCTAAGAAAAAAATTGCAAACCCCTCAGGATATTGGCTAGATCATAAAAAGCGCACAATAGCATTCTTGCAGATAAAGCATTGCCTCAAATACATTTTTATTTAAATTCAAATTATTGTTATAAATTATACTGAGATAAAAATTGTGAAATGAATCTATCATACGATCAGTTTTAAACAGTGTTTTCAGTATTCTTCTTTTGCTGTTACGAATATATTTGCTCTTCTGTGTAATATTTTTAAATGGCTAAGTTTAAATATAAGTCTATTTATACCTTCTAGTGTCTGACGTTTCATGGCTTATAATTTGCATTTTTGGTTACATTAAACTCATATGATCATGACTATCCATATGATTTAGATCAACAAAAATTATATTAGACCTTTGTCGGACAAGATCGGCCATACGGCATAAAGTGTGCCATCAGTTGAATCGAGGCTTTTTTGACATAACTGAAGCCCTAAAGCACCACATTGTGTGCTGAACCAAACCAGATGCTTATGTGCATAATCAATGGAGTGCGCAGTGTAAGCGAGACGCTATAGTTCTGCCGAATTCAATAATTTCATCTGCCTTCATTGTAACATTCATAACAGCATATCATTATCTATCTCATTTAGAAGGAATCACAGTTAAACTTCAGGGATGACCTGTTGATAGTGTGGAAGCCTAAAACATGGTCCAGAAACTAATTGAGATTTATACTTCTAAGCATGAAAATGTAGAAAAGAGTTTTGAGAGTGCATTTGATCATGCTGGGCAAATGTGTAAAAAATTATATGTAAACCTTAAAATGCCACGCATTATTCAAAAGCAAGTCTATTGAAATAATGGCTCATGGTGATTCTGTGTTTAATTGTTACAAAACTACTTTAGCAATCCCTTTACCTGACCATCTCATTTTCCATTTAAAATCTCAATTTTTAAATTTAAAAAAGACTGCATCATTCCGGTTTTGCATACTACCACCAGTTTGCGCTGATCGTGTAAATGAAATTGCTGTAAATGGGTTGAAGGGGACATATAAAGATGATTTACTCTCTCTGGAACTTTTAAACGAAGAAATGAAACGTTGGCAATGGTATTTTATGTCTGTTCCCAAAGGAAAGCTCCCAGACACAACAGTTTTGGCAGTGAAAGCTCTGAATAAAATCTTTTCCCCAAATATTGATGTGCTTTTGCACATAGCAGCTGCACTGCCTATAACATCTTCGGAATGTGAATGTTACACAAGTGCTTTGAAAAGGTTAAAGAATTATAACTATTATTTAACTACTAACATTAAAGTGGTTAAGGTGAAAAACGAAAATTTTGCATTTTATTATTAATAAAAATAATAAATTTTATTATTAATAAAAATATAAAATTTAGAGTATAATTATTATTTTTATTAAAATAACTTCCATTAACATAGTATATTTGTCACGTAATAATTAGCTATATACTTGAAGATGCTGTAATGTGTAGAGCAGTATTGCCATAGGAGTCGTAACGGGCACCCTTCAGTAGTTTGAGCTAACTACGCCCATGCTTGGATGGTCTGAAGGTAAACAGCAATGTATGAGAACTTATTGAATGAGGAAATTTAACAAATGCAGAATACACTTAAGTTACCACACTTAAGTTCTTCAACAAGTATTTTTAACTCACGTAACTTTTGTAAGACACTAAAATTTATATTTGGAGAAAGGAATTTACTTAACTGAAATATGAAAAGAAGAAAGAGTAATAACTCAAACAATTTAAATCACACACTGATAATGGAAAACCTATTATTATTAACTTAAATGTGACTCACTACGCATGCTTCCATGAATTGTCACAACATGAAGGAAATAACTTCTAAAATTAAAAGTTCCGGAGTACTATAGTAGGCTGTTAAGAAGCATGAAAAATTAAAATAAATAATAGGTAATTGAGAAAAAAATCAAACAATAAAGAATGACTAATTAAATAAAATATAACACAATACATGAATGACAATAATAATAATAATTTAATTCATCATAAATAATTATACGAAATACTATGGAATAGTGAATATAATAAATTATTTAAATGGAATAATATAAGAAATGGAAGTGAATAAATTATTGATAGTGAGTTGTACATTTTCTGAACAGCATTTTTCAGTTTATTTGAAATTGCTGAGTATACTTTTTATGAAGAATATGTCTGTAAATAATAATAATAATAATAATAATAATAACAATAATAATATCCTGATGAATATTATTAGAGAAATAAAAAATCACACAAACAGTTATTAAATATATATGCATAAATATTGAATAGATGTCAAACTTCACATCAGTTATATTCTAATTGTTGAAATTTCCCTGAATTTTGTAACAACTTGAAGGTTGAAAATTATATTTCTCTCCATACTTCCAGCATTCAGTACCAGCAATACACCTATAATACATTTTCAGATCTGATTAATTAAATTTATATTCATATGCTTAATATTTATGCACAAATCCATCTCTTTGATTTCAATTAATTTTTTTTCTATTTGAAAGACACATGTAAATTCAGTAGTCAGTGTAAATAACAGTCATATTGAATCATATTGAATTAAAGTCAGACCGGTTTATCAACAATAATCTGGTAATAACAATCTAGTTCATTCAGAAATCTGGTATTAATTTCAACAATTTAAAATTTTCTGCATTACTGCAGGGCACTAGTGCAAGCTTGTGCCTACTTCTTTAAAATGTCAGGTGCACTAATTGCTTTTATTCTGTGTATATCTAATTTGAAAATTTTATTTTGATATAAACACATCATTATACATTAAGTAAGAAAATTTGTAGTACAGCATAACATTCAGTTTAGAATGAGATTCAAATTTTAAGCATTTAAGATAAGATTAATTAATAAATTTTAAGCATTTTAAGATAATAAGTAGAAAATGATTATTTTTTTAGATATGTTATAATAAATATGCACATTAAGATCACATTTTTAAAGTTTAAACTTTTTATTTTATTACATAAAAAAGAAAAATTACTTTTCAGAAAGATTAAAAAATATGGTGCAAAAATATGAGAAATTTATCAATTAAGAATATTACCTTCATTAGTTTAGAGTAAAGAATATCATTTTCTGGCTTTAACTTTTTTATTTCTCTCTGTAAATTTCTCACAACTGAGCCCTACAACACAGATTATGAGAATTATAACATTTTGTTTGCAATGTTTTACAAAATATCAGTTACAATAATATGAAGCAAAATATTTCAGTAAAGCCTACCACATGAATATTCTTGTTAATATTTTCTTCATGTTTTTGCACAGACTGTTGCATTTTACATAATTCCTCATTTAAACCTTCATTTTGAGTTTTTAAGTTTTTCACTTTTTCCTTTAAGTGGGATTCTTTTTCCAGGACCGATGTTATCTGAGCCTTAAAAGATAGAAAGTACAATTATTCCATATTAAATACATATCAGCAATTAAAAAAACAGGTGACACTGGAATATACAATATGATACAGTACTGTTATGAATTTTGTACATGGATAGATAATTTTAGTGAAATGTGAAATTGTTGTACGTTTTTGTATAATGGAATATGATTTGTATAATGGTCTAGAGAGAGGAGGCTCTGCCAGAAAAATAAGAATACAGGGGTAAGTCTATTTAACATTGAGTAAATGGCTATCTCACTAATTTGGTGAGATATCAAAGTTGGCAAAGATATTGGAGACTATTTTTTATCACCAAAAGTCACCAGTTAAGTGCAAAGAACATGATAGAAGTGAAAGATGGGAATTAATTATCATGAGGTTAAGTTTCATTCTCATTCTTAAGCTTTCTTTAATTCTTATTCTGGACATAGCTTTGAACCATTATTTGAATAAATTACGATGCAAAGATTGTTGACTTTTAATCATAAATATTCATTCAAGTTCCACATTTCTGGGGAATTTTGTTGTTAGCGATCTCACTAGTCTGATAAGGGTCAGCACAAGTTCACAACATTCATCGTGCCAAGGAGTCAATTCTGGACATAGCTTTGAACCATTATTTGAATAAATTATGATGCAAAGCTTGTTGACTTTTAATCATAAATATTCATTCAAGTTCCACATTTCTGGGAAATTTTGTTTGTTGTTGTTAGTGATCTCACTTGTCTGATAAGGGTCAGCACAAGTTCACAACATTCATCGTGCCAAGGAGTCAAGTACATCTGTTGTTGGCAAGAGCCTTGAGTGCCATACAAGTGACAGCCAACTTTAGCTCAGTTCCACTGTGAATTTTGAGAGAGAGCAACCCCCAGGGGATAGGTCTCAGGGTTTGCGATGGGCCCTTTGGTATGGTAGTCAGAGTTACTAACCACTATACCAGTTGGGTGGCAGGCTTTGCATAATCAATTTAATAGTACCATTTAATGAGAGTATTGAATTATCATTTAGAAAATATTATTTTAGGTAATGGAACTGAATTTTAAGCAATGGTGCACTATTCTGATGAACATAATTTAAAAAATCACTTTAATGATAATTTCTAATATTAAATAAGCTGATAATTTTAATTGAATTGAAAGTTTTCTAAATGTTCTTATGTTTCCATCTATGCATATGTTGAACTGATATTGCCTCTACTTTCATATAAAACAGACGAGCATTAGCATCATTACGGATTAGCACCTAAAATGAGGAAACTGGGACCAACTGCTACAGCATAAAGTCTCACAATGGTGTAATGGACTTCATTCTAATATTATACAATTATCACAGGACTGTCTTTAAAGATGTGCAGCTGCATGCAATACAGGCACTGTATGACACTGAAATTTCATCCCACACCATTATGCTGCTACCTCAGAATGCTGGTGTCCAATAATATTCTGGGTTTGATTCTGTATGCTCATTCTCTCCGAACCCTTACACGCTTATCATTCGATTCCAGGCAAATCTGGACTTCTCCATGAACAAGACACTGCACCAGTTTGAGAGAAAGCCCAGCTGAAATGCTGACAACACCACTTTAATTTTCCCCCTCTGGATTGGGCAGTCAAAGAACCACAACATTTGTTATTCTGTACAGTCCCTTCATGTAAAGACTTGGCACAATACATGTTCACAATACTGGCATACATTACCTTATCATATTATTAGACATATATCACAAGGTGATCCTGCAAGCCAAAATATATCGGCCGTGAAGATCGATTCGGCTCGACTACTACAGTAATATACCATTCTTCATAAAGGATGGTAAGCCTAGTCGAATGATCACAAGGCTCCAGATAACTGATTGATTTACTATATATTCCAGCATATAACATGCACCTGTAATTTCAAACTACATTTTTTAATTTTTAGGTATATTCGCCATATAACACACACAAACTCTTTTCTTTACAAAGAAACCTGAAAAATACATGTATGATGCTCTTTTGAAGTTATTCATTCAAAGATTTTCCTCAGGCTTTCGAACAATGGTGTACTGAACTGACAAGCAATAGGGAACAATATGTGAGCTAGGAAAATGCTTGAATGAATAATATTCTGCGATGAGGACAGACTATATTCAATGCAGTCTACCCTTGTCCCAGAATATTATTCAATCTTTTACTTTGGGACATGCTCATATTTTATCTAATGGATAATATGAAGAAATTTTTGAAAGAAACTAATAGAGACATGGCAGTTATTCCAGGTGAATTGATGCCATTAATCCAGCCTTTAGATGTGTATATCAATAAAACATTCAAAGAAAATTTAAAACGACAATGGAAGAGCCATAAAATACCAGTCCAGAAATAGTGTACGAGTGAATAATAAAAGCATGGAATGAAATTAAGCCCAATATAAATCAAAAGCCATTAAAAATGTAGTATATCACACAACCACCATGGAAGGATAAATGATTATTTATTTATGGATCAGAGTAACAGTGATGGAGATGAAACATAATTTGATGATGTGACTGAAGACATAATGGAAAATGAATACGATAAACTTTTCATGTTAACCGATAATGAAAATTTTTAAGTTCAAAAGGTAAGTCATTTCCTTTAAATAAATAGCATTTATGTACATGTAGAAATCTAATTTTTGTTTGCTTACCTTTTCCTTATTTTTAAATCTATCTCTTTCATATCCAGCATATAACGTGCATCTGTTAATATTTCAATCTTATTTATATTAAAAGTGCACATTATACATCGGAATATATGATATTTGAAATTTTTTTCACATTTGAGAAATTACCAAATGATTAATGCTAAAGAAAATAGTGACATTTTTGATCAAATATTATAGCAATATACTGATCTATAGAAGAGGTAGTAACACTAGTCAAATGAGCACAAGTCTCCAGCCAACTTTATGACATGTTTGAAATTCTTTTCATGTTCGAGAAATTACCAAGTGATGAGTGCTAAAGAAAAGAGCAACATCTTTGACTGTTTCAATGTGTCCAGCAGCATGTGAGTACTAATTATCTGTCATTTGTCTTCTTTAGCCATAAAAACATGAATATCATAAAAAATTATTAACACTTTCACAGTGTTTTGGTTTGAGAAGGTCATTTAAATGTTGATAAATATCAGCATTAAAATGATTCTCAAACCCTTCAGAATACTGGCATCTTTAACAATCATCTAATTAGCATATGTTCATGATCAACTGCAACATACGATATTTGCATACTGCCATCTATATCCATAGCGATTTTTAGTCACTGAAGTTCAACTATGCTTTTGAAAACTGCTAATTTGCATTACATGCTTAATTTTTGGAACCTAGTGTACTTAAGTGGAAGATAGGAATTTTGGAAGCTAGTGTATTCAGTGACTGCATGAATGTCAGCTCTTCAGCAAACCATAAGAAAGAAACACTCTACATTTAAATGCATTTTCCTAAAATCATAACTTTCAGAATGAAATACAATATTCTCATAAGTTAAAGACAAATAAATAGCTTACTCAACAATATTATTTATTTCGATAAAATTCTAAATTTCTTTAATTTTGAAACTATATTTATACTGAATTGACATACATGTTACTGAACAGGGCATAATTTAAGACACCAAGAATGTATCATTACCTGATATGCTAATTCTTGACAAAACTTTTATTTTACTTTTCAGATAAAATAAAAAATGAAAGAATAAAAAAGAAGATCAAATTATAATAGAACATTTTGCAACAAACACATAAATTTATGTTCATCAAATATAATATTTGCAACATAACATTTGAATTATGTAGTTAATGCAGAAGGAAAGTTAAAAGTGCACATGCTTACCCAAAGTGCAAAATCAGGTTTTAAAATCCAAAATCTACAAAAACAAGAAAAAGTGCAATATAAATTAAAAAAAAACAAAAAACAAAAAAACTAGGCATTAAATGAAATTGTTTCTGATTTTTTAAAAACCAATAGGTCATAAACTTGAACTTACTTTTAAAGATTTAATTAATAAAATATCATTCTTAATAATATCATTGTAGTAATTTTTCATTTTCTCAGTCAGATTTTCATGTGCTTGAATAAGTTGCTTCATATGACAGTCCTTTTGTTTTTCAATTTCTTCTATTGCTTGTCTTCTTTGCAAGTCTAACTCAAGACCAATTTTCTTAATTTCAATCACTTTTTCATTTTTTATTAAATTAATTTCTTTCTGATAATATTGATGTAATGCCTGTTTTTCTTTTTCCTGTTCCTAAAAATATAAATGGCAGTTAATAATAAATAGATCAGCATAGCATCACACAGAATATATATATATATATAAAAACACTGCACAACTATAATATATAGTTTACGAAAAGCTCATGATTTTAGTTTAGAAAATGAAGGAAAAAATGTAGGTTTTTAAACTCTGGTAATTTTGGCATTTCAGCAAGGATATATGAAATTAAAATTTTTACATAGGTCTTCTATAAATGAAATTGAAACAGAAAGTTTTTTTAAAACACTAATAAAATTTTTTAAGGTAAAAATCAGCAAAATTATTGATTTTAGAAGTGCTATAAAATTTGAATTTTATAACAAATAGTTTGAGTTTAAAATTTCTACAAACAGGAATTTGAAACTTATGCTTCTAAATTATACTTTTCTAACACAAAATGCATATTTTAGAAATATGGCAGCTATAAAATATTAGCTGCATAATTTAAAACACAGCAACAGAGAAACTTCAGTTTTGAATAAAAGTCTAACAATTTTGAAAATTATTAAAAAAATGATTTAAATGCCTGCACAGGAAGACCATCTCACAAGATATCAAAATGAGGTTAAACTATTAGTGTTAAACAATTTTATGAAATCAGCTGTAAATAAAGCCTTCAGTCAAAGAATGAGTAAAAATAATAATAATAATAATAAAATGATGGGGGACAAAATGGATAAAAGGAAAATAACTTAAAACTGTGAATACAATGCTAACCTGTTTTTGAGGAATAGCTTCAGAAAGTGACCAGTATTTCTGATAACATAATTACATAATGCTCTTATGTATAAGACAGTGCTTATGTGATCATATTTGTCCACAACTACACTTATGTCCATAAATTAAGGACAATTCGGAGTCACGCGGAAATCGAACTCTAAAATAAATATATCACCTGTAAAATCACTACACACATCTTCAAGAATTATATGCAAATTCCAGTAAGTAACCAGATGACACCGATGGTACGTCACAATGATGAGAGTGTAAGAGAGTGATATATAAGGAATACAGGCAAAGAAGTAAAATTGTTCCTAGGTGCTTTATAAGCATTTCAGTGCAATAACCGAATAGTTATGACACAAAGAACGCATTTGGATGATTTTTTACGTGGTAGAATTATTGGCCGTCTGGAATGTGGGTGTACCCAACTGGAAGTATCAGACGAACTTGGAATTGCCCAGAGTGTCATCTCCTGGCTTTGGCAACGATTCCAAGATGATGGTAATGTAAGTAGATGTTACAGCACAGGTCTCCCCAGAGTTACAATGTCGAATGAGGACCGCTATTTGGCAGTTACTGCCAAAAGAAACAGGCTAAGCACAGCCTCAGACCTATCTCGTCATCTCTCTTCACCCACTTGTACAACAATTTCAACGCAGACCGTGTACAGATGCTTAGGGCAAATTGGTCTATATGCTCGAAGACCTGTCAGATGCGTTCCACTTACTGCAAAACTCACTGTCGCCTGCGGTTAGCCTGGAGTAGAAAGCATGCATTGTGGACACTGCAACAGAGGGTTTGTGTGATGTTTTCCGATGAGTCCAGGTTTAGCTTGCAGTCTGATTCTCGCCGGACTTTCATATGTAGAGCTCCAGGTACCCGTTACCACCAAGAAAACATCATTGAACAACACTGTTACGGTGGTGCAGGAGTGCTCGTTTGGGGTGGAATTATTCCGGGTTCCAGAACTGACCTGCATGTTCAAATTGGAACCATGACAAGCCAAATCTATTGGGACGTCATTCTGGAACAACATGTACGTTTGTTTTGGGGCGCCATAGGCGCACAATTTGTGTTTATGGATGACAACGCCCGTCCCCACCGTGCAAACATCGTAAGCGAATGCCTTCAATCGGAGTATATCACCCGTATGGGCTGGCCAGCATTCTCACCGGACTTGAATCCAGTAGAGCACGTGTGGGACACGCTTGGCCTACGAGTTGCAGCCGTCAACCTCCTCCTACATGTCTACCGGAACTTCGGAGAGCATTGCTTTTTGAGTGGTGTAATATCCCCCAAGATCAGATTGATAATTTGATACTCAGCATGCTTAGGCATTGTACGAACTGTATTGCATCGTCTGGGAGACATACAATGTATTAACAATCATACCAACCATGTAATATTGGTTTTTTGTAAATAGGTTTTTTTTTTTTGTAATTTGCTCCAGGGAGAAAAAAATCGCTAATTTTTTTTTTAATAACATCAAACATATAGCATCTTTTTTTGCTCTTTACCTTTTGTTTAATAAATAAGCTTTACAAATAAGTCAAATTTGTTTTGCTTCTAACTCTTCCTTTGCCTGATTTTGCATTATCCTTAATTTATGGACATGAGTGTATTTTGATAACATTTACCAAATGGTAATATTAAACGATAAGAAAGAAATGTCTTTCATGTTATCTATGAAGTTAAACTAATTTGATATGAATGTAACTAGAAACATATAGACATTTTCATGGCATTTTAATTAGGAAGAAAATTATTAAAAATGGATTGTTTAGAGCTGTTATGCAAAAGTTCATGTTGAGTATTTGTAATAATTTTGGCAATTATTTTATTGATGCTGTACCCCTAATATTAATTAATACCACTTATCTTTTACAGCTAATTTTTCATTCTACTGCATCAATGCAGCATTAACTTCCACATCGTTTTCACAAACATTTGTAAACCAAAGCTTTAGTGCTTTCTCAAAATTGTGATCTTTTCCACTATGCATCTGTTTCATATTTACATTTTGATTTTGCTTTGATTTGCATATATCTTTACGGTTGCCTAGAATCTTGAATAAAAAGAGTTGAGAAACATTACATTTAAGAACATCATTCTCTTGATTCATTTTTGTGAACTAGTCAAAGGGGCCTAAAAAGTCGACCTGATCTCATAGATCATTACTCTTTTTACTAATCTGTATGATAAAAGGGATTAAACACATTAAAAAACTGAGAACTTGCTAGATTCACAAAAATTTAAAGCTCAAAACACAGCAAAGAAGTTTTCGGCCCAAAAAGCAAGTTCATCTAGAATTCAATTTTATTAAACTTTTTAATCCAGTTGGAAAGTAGTTTATACATAGTAGTATACACATTTTTAAGTTTATATATGGTTGACTTAAATCAAGTTATTCATTGAATTATTCCTTTACAAGGAGACATTTCTCTTTGCCATTTGGCAATTTCCATGCTGTATTTTGACTTTACTTGCTGATTTTATCTTTAATTTGTTGAATTCTACAATTTAAAAAGTTCAAACTTTCATATTTTGGTCATGTTAATTAACTTGTTGATCACAATGCACCATATATAAACAAGTTGAACTTTGGCAATTTGATAAGAATATCCGAGTGATAATATTAACCACAGTCATATTAAGTAGTGTCTCCTGCAGTCCTATTTTCTAAGGTAACTATTTTTATGATCATCTGGAACTGTAAGTGTTCATCTTTGGAAGTGAGGAACTATAAATGAGAATTGTATGTTACATAAAGCAAAGTAAATTCACAAAGAATTAAATAGTTTTTGAAATAACCGAACATTATTTTGATTACACAGAGATGCAACAGAATTTCTCCAATAGACAGTTTAAATCAAACATGAAAATAATTAAACATTTACTCTCTTACATAAAAAGCATAAAACTCATGGTATGAAATTTCAACACAAAAATCATATTAAATAAAAACTGTTTTCAATTACATTAATTAAAACTTCAAGGAAATAAATGTAGACAAATAAATAAGTAGAAATATTTAAAAAAAAAAAAAAAAAATACCAATTTTTGATTAAAGATAGCATCATTATGTTCAGTTTTGAGCTGCAAAATCTCTCCTTTTAGCCTCTTTATATCATTTTCCAAGCAATCAACTTCAGTTTTATATGCTTCTTCTAAAGCTAATTTTTCCACCATTTTTTCTGCTATTTTTTCATTCACAAGTTGCTCACACTCAAACATAATATGCTTCATTTTTTGTTTGTACAGCTAAATGATTAAAAAAAGAAAAAAAAAAAAAAAAATCTGTTATATATTAAATTGCTTTCCAAATTTTAATTTGGACCCAAATTTAAATATAGTATATTCCAGATAATTCAACACAAATGGCAGACAATAACAGTATATCAAATAACACATTTACTGAAAATTAGTTATTTAAATAGACCACCTGAAAAATGAATAGCATTGTATTACAAACTTAGGGGGGGGAAGGCATAATTACATGTGATGTTTGACATTTTACACTTACTTATTACAGTGCAGTTCTTTCGTAAAAAAATAAAGACTGATCTATAATAAGAACTGCTACCAATGGAAGCAATATGGATAATATATTTAAAAGAGCATAGAATAATGATAAGAAAAATAGTTTCTATTATGAATTATGTTTTGATAACCCATTGAGTAGACAAAGACAGAATATACAGAATGCGACTGTACTATAAAATTTCATTAAAATGAACAATTATATTGCTATTGCACATTAATATTTAATTACAATACTAAATATAAACTGATATTTTAGTACACTATAAAATCTAAAATGACTTTTAAAATGTCATTGACTTAAAAAAAATAGACAGGAAAAAAAGGAGGAAAAGAAAAACAGCTTGAAAATTTATGCAAATTGTTGTCTTTAATTTCTCAGAAGATAGTAACATGTGCTAATATAACTTACTCACTCATGATGTTTGAAACTTGGCGATTTTTTTTGTGTCATTCCTGTTTACGTGCAATGCCCTTGCATGTAAAATGGCCTCCAAAACATAAAAAATTATAATCTCGATAAACTGCATTTTAAACCAAAATAAAACAAGAAAACAACATAAAAAGAAAACACATGTATGTAATCTAATCTGGACAAAATATCGACTTACTTTGCTTAGAAATTTCTGTGTCTTCAGTGTATAGCACACAGAATTAATTCACAAAAATAAGAACAAAAATATCCTCCATAGTGATGAACCATCGGTGGCATTTCTTTTGAAAATCACTTTTTATTACACCCCATATACTTTCGATAGTGTTGATGGTGTAGAGCAGTGATTCCAAACCGGCGGTTTGTGAAAATAATATTGCAATGGCGGATTTTTTAAAATGCTATTAAAATCAAAAGGGAAAAAAAATTAAAGAACACACCGTAAACCGTCTGTTGTAAAACAGATTTTTCGCTGCCTGTTTGTTAAGAAATCTATAATAAATTTCAATATTTTCATTTCTTTTTTTCTTATTTGTTTCTCAAAATTACTTCATCAATATCAAATTATATCAACAATTTTATACATTATAATTTATTCCTCTTATTCAAGTAATCAAATACTATTCTCCTTTTATTACAAACATTTATTTATATTTAAAACATTTTATCAATGTGATTAGTATCATGTTCTGCTTTATATTTAAAATCATTGCAGCAGTTTTCCTTTCTATGTAAAATTTTTTTTTACAATACAATTGGAAATAAATATCAAATTAAGGCAGTTTACTACAGATTTTAGAATTACATACTTGTTCACAACCGGGAACTAGAGTAGTGTTGTATTAACTGTCTATTTTGTTTGTCTGTCTGTCGACGTTCATACATAGGCTTACCACTTGTAAAGCTTGAGTGATAGTGATACTGCGACTGTCAAGTTCTCGTGTAAATGATTTAATAATTATTAATTTAATTATTATTATAGCTTATTTTTTATTACGGATCGATGGTTAAAAACGGGCCGTTTAGAAACGAGACATGATAGTACTGAAAGCTGTAGTGAGGTACCGTTTCACCAGACGAAAAACAAAGGAAATGATGATAGAAAAGGGAAAGTGAAAATATGAAAGCGACTATCTACAATTGGGTTTTCATTTTACTGGGGATGAGTCGGAACCTAAACCGCTTTGTGTTATATGTAACAAAGTTGTTGCCAACAGCAGTTTAAAACCATAACTTCTTCGTAGATATATTGAAACAAAACATCCAACACACAAAGATAAACCTCTTGAATATTTCAGTCTTCAAGCCTACCATTACTGGTGCATTATGCCCTCTGGATAAGTGCTAAGCAATTATCCAGAGGGACTGCATTTTCTTTTAAAGTTTTAATAATTAGCTATGCTATATTAAAGTCTGTCGAATGTCCTTCTAAAGTGGGGACAGAAAGTAAACTGCACTCAATTTCTGAAGACTCTGGATTAAAAAAAGAAACAACAATTGGATATAGTTTTGAATCGATATTATTGCTTCCATCCGTAGAGAGGCAGAACGGAGCTTTTTTAACGCAATCAATAATTGAAGATTTATTTTTCAAACCCATTTTTTTAACAATTGCACCTGTTTTGGTCCTTGCACTTGAGTATTTCTCTGCAATTTCACTACCGGGAAACATTTTTCTAAATAAAGCTGCAGCGTGATTGATGCAGTCAGTGGCAGGTTGTGCTCCAGTAAAAAGGCAGAGAACAGACATTTTACATTAATAACTTTTTGGTCCTTTGTTTCCGACGATGCAAATTTTAATTTTTTTTTTTTTTTTTTTTCAAAACAACTCATGTTGTCCTTGTGTCTTTGTGTACGCACATGCTTGAGAACATCTGCCCTTCCACCATGTGAAATCGAAAAATCGCAAAGACAGACGGTAAACCTCGCAAATTTATTACATTTCCTTGAGGAAATATTGGAAGGAAAATCAACTGTGTACGATTTTTGACCTGTACACGAGTATTTCACCTTTCTCGCAAACATAACAAAAGATGATAATTTCTAAAACTATTTCCCGCAGGCACGTGTACTCACACAACTCAGGACAAGAAGAACGAAGTAACTAAAGAACATCCAAATAACAGCCTTGAGCTTGCTTTGTGCTCATTGGCTAATTTATACCAGATGCAGTGGAGCTCGATACCCATTGAAGAACTGGAGAACGACGTTTCTGGATACGTGTGCTCTCACTCACAAAGCAGAAATTCTCATCTGATTTGCAAGGTTTTGTTTCAAATATAATTTAGAGAAAATTCAGTTGCTTTCAGATGTCTAAAATTACTTTTTTTTTCATATACAGTCAAAAGTCATTAACCTAGACTCGTCGGGACTTTGGCGATTCCGGATTATAGATCATCTGTTTAAATCTCATAAGATGGCATGCAGAAATTCTAAAATTAAAAATATGAAACCGTAATTTATGAAATAAAGAACAATTATGATCTAAAGGGTTATCAGGTTCAATGTTTCTTCTAACCTTCTTCGGAAACATACAATGACCTGACTAGAACAGAGAGCTTACTAAAGCTATGTTCACTAATTGTAGTAAGTAGACAGGATACAGACGAAGGGTATACAAAACCCTTTATTTTTTTTCTTTATATACAATGACTTCCGTACTTTGGAATACAATGACCCTCCACTCGGGGTCTAACTTAAAAGATATCAAAATAAAACTAAACTCTAATTTAACTTTAGAATAAGATTGGCCTTATAATAACAGGAAGCGTATGTAGCACAGAGACTGTGAACACTACAATACGTTTAATTTATCAAGAGGATTAAAACCTCTGGCCTGGAAGGCAAAGTAGCAACTGCGTAACTTCTAAGGTAAGCGGCCTGCTTCGCGGCTGCTTCGAACTCACGGCTTCTCTCTTCTGCTTGGCAAAAAGGCCACACTTAAATACTTGGCGTTCGCCAGACAACTTTGCATAAACTCCTTCACGCTTATAATTCTGGCCGGAAGTAGAAAATAAGAAGTGATAGTAAAGATTTAAAATAAAATAAACGTTAGTAAAACTTAAGATCCTTACATACTTCCCGCCAGAGTTAATTAGTTTGAAACTGAGGTCTAAAACGACCTTGTTGAAAACTTTTAGCTCTAGAAACTAACGCGAGAGGCCAACCTTTTACAAATCATAACTTAGCTAGAAACTAGAAAATTTTAAAAGAAAAAGAAATTTGTTACAATAGCAGCTCCCGGAATATACAACAATCTTTTTTCTTTTCATCTGTACTGCATCAAAACAGGAGCTTTATTCAATTCTGGTTCCTTCCAGAGATCTGGAAGGAAAACTAGTTTAATGAAATGTTACAGAATGACATTGCAAATAACATATAGAATATACTTTTCTTAACATTCTTATTTCATTCATGACTATTTTTTAATTATCTCTCCCCGTGCTCTCTGACATGTGTTGTAAAAACACCAAACACGAATGTGTTTCTGTCTATGTGTTCAACACTTCCTCCTACAATCAAAACACTAACGTGTTAAAATTCAACATACGAGACCTCTTAACACACCCTAATTTCAACTCTAGACCCTGAGGTACTATTCTGAAAGTGGCTAACTCTAAAGTGTAGCGTCAGAGAGCCTAACTACATCATTCAACCTTTAACACATATTCACCATGATTTAATCTTTACAGTCACACGAATAACAAATTTTTTAACATTACTTTCACTTTTACCATATCACAGTATTTCTAAACATTCAAAATAACAGTTCACATGTATAGAAGAACATATCAAGATGCCGTTAATTTTACACATTTGAAAACATACATTAGTAGTACATTGTTAACTTCTATTCTTTTCAAAGCAAGTGCCAATTCTTTCTACATTGAAATAATACTACATTTCAAAAAGTCTTTCAGACTAAAACTTCTTTCTTGTTAGAATGTTTTAAATAAAATTTATACAATAACTTTTTACAATATTTAAGTCTTTATACAACGCTATTATACATCAACTTTAGTTTTACGCGCGCGAGTAATTGAAAAACATAATAAGAAAATCGGTCACAACTCATTTCTCGCCCTTTTGGCGATAAAGGTAGAACTCGCATGAGGTAAAACTTCTTGAAATCTGCCACTTGCAGTAAGAATGAAAGATTAACTTAAGTTTGTAAAGTAACATAAAATTTTACTTATCTTTGTAATATTCAGACATCCTTTTCTGGGCCCAGTCTCTAAAGGTGCTGCAGACCGTAGCTTGGTTGATCCTCCTTCTTGTACGGGCTCGCCCTTCAGTGCTTTCCTCTGGAAGCTTCCGTTTTTCACCACTACGGCCACCCTTGAACATCTTCCTTCTGTCCTCTGCTTGTGGTCTTGGCCGTTTGAAGGCAGCTGGTCTTGGTGGAACCGGGAAACTTCTGTCGTGATCCTGCTTGGACCTCGTTGTTGGCCGTTCAAATTTTTCTTGTACTTTTTCCTCCGCCGCTGATGGCCCTTCCGCAGTTCGGCGACTTTTGCTGCGGAGAGTTCTGTCGGATGAGTCAATCTTCCGTTTCACAGCTGGGTTATAGTTGCCGTCCTTTCTCCCGGTCTTTTCCACATACGTCGTCCTTCTCCCTTCTTCATTCTGG